TGAGGTCACTGGGCTGAGAGGTCATGGGCCGTCTGCTGTGAGGTCACGAGGCCGTAAGGTCACAGGTCGCATCCTGTGAAGCCACGAGGCTTTGTGGGGGGCACAGACCACCTGATCCGAGGTCATAGGGCACTATGAGGTCACAGACTGTTTGCTATGCGGTCACGGGGCTTTGTGAGGTCACAGACAGTCTGCTGAGAGGCCACGTGGCTGTGAGGCCACAGGCCGTCTGCTATGAGGTCACAAGGCTTTGTGAGATCATAGACGACCTTCTGTGAGGTCACGAGGCTTTGCGGTCACAGGGCGTCAGCTCAGAGGTCACGGGGCTTTGTGGGGTCACAGACCACCTGCTAAGGTCTGCAGTTTTCAACAAGAGAATGAGACTAAGAAGAAAATATTCCCCCACTTTGAAAAAACCTTAGCTTCCCTCTCTGTCGCTCACCAATAAATCTTCATAACTTGACTCAATGCTGACTTCCACCCTTGCAACCTTGATGATATAATTGCAAAGAATAATTCTACTCAGAACAACTGCCTTGATGGCTCCAGTGGGCAACACGTGACCAGGGCCAGCAATGATTGACACATTCCACAGTGGCTCAGTGGTTAGCACTGCTACCTCACAGCGCCAGGGACATGGGTTCGATTCCAGCCTCGGGCGACTGTCTGTGTGGAGTTTGCACATTTTCTCCATAACTGCGTGGGTTTCCTCCAGGTGCTCCGGTTTCCTCCCGAAGTCCAAATATGTGCAGGGTAGGTGGATTGGCCAGGCTAAAATTACCCATAGTGCCCAGGGCTGTTTAGGTTAGGTGGGTTAGACATGGGAAATGTAGGGGTAGGGGAATGGGTCTAGGTGGGATGCTCTTCGGAGGGGCGGTGTGGACTTGTTGGGCCAAATGGCCTGTTTCCACATTGTAGGGATTCTATGATGATTCCAAGGCTGTGCTGATCTTGATGAAAAAAAACAAAAAAAAAAACTGCAGATGCTGTAAATCAGGAACAAAAACAGAAGTTGCTGGAAAAGCTGAGCAGATCTGGCAGCATCCATGGAGAAAAAAAAAATCAGAGTTAACATTTCGGATCACCGGATCAGAAACGTTAACTCCGATTTTTTCTCCACAGATGCTGCCAGATCTGCTGAGCTTTTCCAGCAACTTCTGTTTTTGTTCCAGATCTTGATGATTCCTGACTGTTGTCCCATTGCCTTCATATACATCAGTTGCTCTATGATGTTCAACACCTACATAATATTTTGCACTAGAGCTCACCAAACTCAGGAGCCATGTACAAAAGCCAAATAAATCTCTTACTTTCACTGGATTTAAATGCAACAGAACTGAACTTGGCAAATGTTGAAAAAGGTAGAACATAATATAGAATGAAAGAGACTTAAGGAATCTGGTGTACAGGTCATTAAAAATATCACGAACAGATACAGAAATAATAAGATAGACGGATGGAATACTGTTCTTTGCATTGAGAACACAAGGGGGTAGAAATCGTAAAGACAAACAGAAAATGCCAGTACAACTCAATAGGTCTGACAGCATTTGTGGAGAGAGAAAGAGTTAACATTTCAAGTCCAATATGACGACTTTGAAACAGAAGGAGATTGGAAAATAATGTTTTTTTTTAAATGGGGGACAAATAGGGGAGGAGCAGCAAGTGGAACAGATGGTGAGTGTGCCCAGAACCAAAGACAAAGGGAGTGTTAATGACAAAGGAACGATAGAGATGGAAATTAGGTGCTAATGATATGCTTGAATTAAAGAAATTCTGCAAACTCCGCTGAGAGCAAAACCAACAAAACACAAACAAGATACAGGGAGGTCGTGGTGGTGAATCAGAATGAAGGACATGGTTCATGCTCTGAAATTGATGAAATCAGTGTCGAGTCCCAAAGGCTGTAAAGTGCCTAAATGGAAAATGAGGTGCTGTTCCTTCAGCTTGTAAAGGACTTCACTGCAACACTGCAGCAGGCCTAGGGCAGAAACATTGGAGTGGGAGTAACGCAGTTTGTGCAAATGACAAACCCTTGGAAGGTTTGGTTAAAGGTCACGTCACAGCTGCACTGAGCACGAGCAAGACCACACTTGGAACACAGGGACAGTTCTGGGCACACCTTCAGAGAAAATATACTGGTGTTGGAATGAGACCAGCATTAAGTACCAGATGATACTACTTGGGCTCCCGTGGATGATCAGAGATTACACAAAGTAGGGCTGCATGCTGGGAATTCAGAAGATTACAAGCAGTGACTTGATCGAAGGTTTCAAGACACGAAGAGGACTGCGATTAGAATAGATGGAATTAGATTAGATGGGATTAGATTAGATGGACATTTACTGATCAACATGGACTCGAATGGCCTCTTTACATGCTGTTAAAACTCTAAAACTGATGCGGGGGAAGCGGATGGAGAGAAAATAAGACTGATGGCTGACAAGCCTAAGACAGGGTGGCACAGTCCAACTCAAGTTAGAGTATCCAGCAAGAGATTAGACAAAACTTATGAGAGCAAAACCAGCCAGAATTTCTGAACTCCCTCTCTTTTGCAAATGGCAGTTGTTTCTGGGTCATTTTTAAATGTGGGATTGATGCATTTTCCCATCCAAGGATATTAACAGATACAAGGTTGGGTCATAGAACAGCCGCGAACTCATTGCATGTCAGAACAGGATTGTGGGACTCCTGTGCCAATGAATTGAGCTGATGGATCGACCTAGAAGACAACACCAGACTGCAACGGAACTGAGTCAGACAAAAGGGAGTTTGATGGGCGGGACTGGACTGGAGAAAGGCACCAACCTGCGACCACAGTTGAAATGGGTTAGACACCTCCGTCCTGTGTTCTGACACCTTCGACGCTGCAGCACGCGTCCAGCGACTCCTCCCGTCATGCTCCTGCTGTTGGGAGTGTACGGGATGATCTTGTGGATAGGAGTAGCCAGTGAGGTCATCCACGTGGTCATGCGAGTGCCCGTGATGGTGGTGGTGGTGGTCGTGCGAGTGCCCGTGGTGGTCGTGTGAGTGCCCGTGGTGGTCGTGCGAGTGCCCGTGGTACATATCACTCTGGGAAGCTCCATTGCTCGCCACCACCTGAAGGACCAGTCCACAGCAGAAGAGATGAGCGAGCAGGAAGGGAAGGCCCCTGGGTCGCAGCAGATCCCGCGAGGCAGCCATTTTCTCAGTTATTTTTTCTGTCCTCCCTATGCAAAGGCTGGACAATGCACTGCAAAATAGAAAAACAGAGAGAGAGAGAGAGACGACAGTCAGCTATGGATGTCAGTGCACATTACAAAACTGACTGGTGCAG